GCTGGGATCACCTGGTAAATGGTACAGAAGGATCTCAGGATGATGAATATTCTAAAACTGGGTTCTGGCAGTGGTTGTACAACTCTAATTTACTCAAAATCCTTGAACTGTACATGCGAAATGAGTGGATATTATGGTATATAAGTACTTCATTAAAGCTATTTAAAATTTTACTTTTGAGCTTACACACTTTTTTAATTCATGGGATAACTTGTGAAGTATTATTATTTGATACAGGTTTTTCTAAAACTTGAGACAATTGACTACAAAGCTATCTCAGAGCAGTATATTTACTGAATTAATATTTGTTGATCTATTCAACTTTCCTTTTGCTTTTTGCACCAGTGCCAGTGTTTGATACCTTTTTGTAGTCATGAACCCATTTTGATTTTCAAATGTATTAGCATATGGGTACAATATGCTTTCATGTATTTATATCTCAATTTTTATAGTTATTTCCAATTATTATTCCATATACTTTTTCTTTCTATCCTCTTTCTCTTTCATCAGTCATACCAGAAATCTATTCTATCAGGTTCCTTTGTTAATATTCTCTATTGCTTTTGTCTTCTACTGTATCCATTACTTTTTTCCAGTAGTGTTTGTTTATGTTTGCATTTCCTCATTTTAGGATGGACTGAGAAATACTCAGTCCTCTGATTTCTTAAATTTTCTGACAAGGGTGTTTTAAGTTCCTAAGGATCATTAGACTTGAGATTTGTACTTGAGGCATTTTCTTTAGCAAATATTTCTTAATATCCTCTCCCTCAAAGTTATTTAGTAATATCTTGTTTGATTTTCTCATGTATAAACTTTTTTCTTTATATTAGCCTTTAATTAAAATTTGTTAAAGAATGTGGACTATATTATATTGTTCATTTGAATTTCTTATGACTTTCTTTGTGGCCTAACATCTTATGCTTTTATAAATGTTTCACATGGTTTAGAAAAATGTTTATTTTCTGTCTTGGGTATAATTTTCCATAAAAATCTAATGGAATAATCTTTCTAATGTTTTCTCTAATATATCAGTTTCTAAGAAGTTTGTTAAATCTCTAACACTAGTTATGGATTTATCTAGAGCTTTCACATACTATTGGTATTGTTTGATGTACTTGGAAACTATTGTTAGCCTGTATTACTTATGATTATTATACATTCTTGTTCTCTTTCTTTTTCTTCACATAATGTTCTTCTTCATCACTTATGATATATTTTGGGCTGACGTCTATTTTTAAGTATTAATATTACTATATGTGGTCTCTTATTCGTTTTGTTACATGTTTTCTTATCTTACTGTTTTAATATTTGTTTACCTTAATAATTTTTCTCTTGTGATCAATATATGGTTTGATCTTAGTTTTAAAAATTTCAAATTAATTTTCATTAAATTTGTGGATTCCACTCATTTAAATCTTAAATCAATTAAATACTTTTCCTATTATATTAATTTGGCCCATTTTTCACATATTTAGTTACGATACCATTTTTTAAAAAATTATTTTAAAAGTTGTTTCCTTGTTTCAGCTTTTGGTAACTATTTAAATGTAACATAAGTACTTTTTTTCTTATCATGATTACCCTGAATCAAAATTCATACTTTCAACTAATTCTGATTAATACCAGTATCTGTCTATAACTGTGTTTTCTCCTTTAATGTACTTTAGGTATCTCTGTTTTCTTTCTGAAAATGGCTTATATTTCTCCATAACTTTGTTATTAACTAGATTTTATCATTCAGTTTTTATGGTTACTCTTATCTTCCTCTTGGTTTTTCATTTTTTTCATTAATTCTGGGAACTTTCCATCTTGGTCAGATATTTCTGACTATATTTGTTTTCCTCTTTTTGGGAAATTCCAATTCAATTCTTTATGCTTTTTAGCTTTTCTTTTTTGTTTTAAATTAGTTATAGTTTTCATTGTCTTCTAGGAGAATTCCTTGATCTCATTCTCTGGTTCATAAATTCCTTATTTATCTGTACCTACTCATTTTTATTCTTTATAATGTATTATCACTTTAAATGCAAATCTTCCATTTTATTCTTCTTTATATATATTTTTTTCAAATTACAGGTATCTTATTTGTCTATGGTATACATTCTCTCATTAATTCATTTATTTATTTACTTTTTTGTTGCTGGATTTGACCCCAGGCATTTTCACTGAGTTATATACTTAACCCATTTTGCTTTTTATTTTGAGGCAGGTTCTCATTAATTTGCTTGATAGTCAAGTTGCTGGGCTTGAACTTGTGAATCTCTTTCTTCAGCCTTCCAGAATGCTAGAATTATAGATTTCTACCACCACACCCAGCTGCATAGTTGGAATGTTATTGTTTTACCACCCATTTCAACAATTCTTTTCCCAAAGATACACGTTCTTTGGTATATTGGATTTCTTTTCTTTTGTTTTATTTGGTACATTTTACTTAGTATATTGGGTTTCTTTTATGTTCTTTTACACCTGAAGTGTACAGGCATAGGTCCTGTGAAATTCCATAATGGGTTTAGCTATTTTTTTCTGCCAAACTGAATTAGATAATGTTCAAAGTCAAGCTGCTATTGAGTGTAAGGATAGGACAGGAATAAGGGTCAGAGTAGAAGGTTCTAGAACTCCTACTGCCTCTCCAGTTTTCTGCCTCTCCAACAGGTGGATCCTGACCTGGGTAAGGGCTCAGTAATTGTCAACATCAGGAGGCCGTGTTTTCTATGTAGGCATGATTCCCTGGAGTTTGGCGGGGAAGGAAGTGGAGTGGTAGATGCTCATACCTATTCTCCTCACTCCCACCTGGCCTGTTGACTTGCTCAGTCGTCTCCCTGTCAACACCTGTGACCTAGTATGTGACTGTTGATTGTCCAGTGAGGGGAAATGATCGATTGCTCCAATTACATCAGTCCATAGTTTCCTCATGCTTCTGGAGTTTCCAGAAATTATATTTGAAAGAAAAGCAGCATTTCTCCTGCTTTTCTCTTTAAGCTTCAGCCACACTTCTTTCTGCCCCTCCAGTGGAACTATCCAGTTACCACCACAAATCCTTGGCAATTGTCAAACTCTTGTGCCTAGAATGTTCTTCCCTCAGATCTCTAATCTCATCTCATCCCAAATATCTCTTTTGTACAAAGATATTTTTATTTAAAACATCAAGGTGTAATACAGACTTCTACCACTTTCTGTTGAGAGTATGATAGAGATAGAGACAGATGATTAAGAGTAAAATATTTATATTTAAATATTTTTATTTATGTATTCTTTAAAAATATAAATATATGTAAATGTCTTACATTCATATAATATATTTAATATATCATATATTTTGTGATATATTTTATAAATATACATTTATATTTGAATAAACAAATACTTTAATATATTTAAATATAGTTTTAATATATAAATTATAAATGAATGCATTTAAATGTTATATATACATTTATATTTAAAATCATGACTGTTCTTGGCACTATTATATTGTGTAATTTAGTGTCTTGTAGCACTTACAATCTCAATTGTACATGTTTCCTATTTCTTCCATATGGAAGGTTATCTCGGAGCAATATTCCATTCTGCTTGTTTGCTTGTTTCTTTGTTGTGGTAGACTCACAGCTAGTGAAATGCCTAATATCTTATAAATGTGTAATGAATTTTATGGGATAATTGAGTAAAGGAATTAATGAAATTACATCTATGGCCATTATTTATTTTATTTTCACTTATTTTCAACTTACATTGCTCTATTTGCAACTTCTGCCTAAACATAAGGCATGGATTGTGAAGTAGTGCCGTGGGTTTTCCTTTCTCTTTTAAAATCTTTTTTCCTTTTTCATCATCTTCTCTGAGAGTTCTTTAATCTGATTTTCTGATTAACAAATTCACTATATATTTGTACACATCCTACTTTTTATTTTTTTATTTTTGTGGAATATTATGTCATCACAATATATATTCCAAATGTTCTATATCTGCCATTAAAATCCTTTACTATGACACTGATGGCATCAAAAATGTATTTTGCACTGTGATGCCCTAAGGGAGGAAAATACCTCAAATTTTATTCATAGGCTTTAGATCGAAGTTAAATTCAGCTTAACAATGGATCTTTAGTTAACTTATGTCACAGTAGTGGTTGCCAAATGTCACTTCATAAGTACTATATGATCCTTACCACAAATCCAGAACATGGGTAAGGTGTGAGTTTTCAATTTTCAGATGAGGAAGGTGAGGTTCACAAAGGTGAAGTGAATAGGTGGCAGATCTGAGAGCTGAACATTTGTTTTCATTTGTCATCTGGTTAAATACCCTTAAGTACAGGTCCTATTATTAAAGCAGGGATTTGGGGATTTCTTTGATCATCCTTAAAAGAGGTTTCATTTTCTTGGCTTGGTTGTCAGTAGAAAACATTTAAAATAAAACAACAACAAAAAGGAAAAGATGGCTATGATTTAGCACTTTTCTAATTACTGTACATGTGTTAACATGTTTAAATATGCTTATAGTCTAGTAGGGTTGGTGAAATTACATCCTTTTTGCAAATGTGGACACTTGAGCACAAAGAGATTGAGTTACTTGCCCAAATTATGCAGCTGGTGAATGATAGAGTTGGAATTACAAACCCAGAAATCTGGATTTTAATTATTATTCAATTTAAATAATAAAAACTGTATTGCAGTTTATAGTTTGCAGAGTTTTTATATCTGTTATCTACTGCACCTCACTCCTGCTCTCTAGAGAAGGCAAGCAGAATTTGACAAACAGTACACTAAGTTTCAGAGAGCTGACTTGCATGCCTCACCCAGCACATGGTTGAAATCACACTGAGAGCCTTTTTTTTTTTGAGAAATCCAATTATGTTTCTGTTCTTAATTTGTGTCTTATACCCGTGGTTTTATTATCTCACTGATCTAGAATGCTTTTCCTTTTTAAGTTATATTATTCTAGGTTTAAATGTTAGCCTATTTATGTATAAAAGGAATATTTTGACGTTCTTTGATCATCTCTTGTAGCTGAATTGCAATAATTTCAGGAAAGGAGAAAAAGATGGGGATTTTACCTGCAATGATGGTGAAGCTGCTGTTTGTGGGACAGATGGGAAAACATACCGCAACAGATGTGAGCTGTGTGCTGAGATTGAGTAAGTATTCTGCAAAGCAGGCTGTTTCCCTAAAGTGTGTTCTTTGTATAGTTATAGGACACAGTTTATCCTGCATCCTTTAAGATGATTTGTTTTGTAGGAGTTAGCCGTTCATAAACTATTGGTTCCACTTCTTTTAATACTCTTAAGAAAAAAGTGTACATAACACCTTACATTTTATAAAGCATTTTTGTGTGCAAGGTATCATATGTTATCACTGTCACTATTACATAAACAGTAGGGATACATATATCTATGTGTATTCACACATTTGTGGACTCACACATAGATGGTATTTATGTACATGATAGATGTTATATACATATCAGTATATGTTTAAACACATCTATATTAACATCTATCATTTATCAGTCTATTGATATCTTTATAAACAATTATTTTATCATCAAATGATTATTTAAGTATTTGGTAGTTTGAAATATTAAAGTAGGTAATTAGAACTTTTAATATTAAAAGTTCTTCCCATCTGTTCAACCTTTGCCAAACAGATAAAGCATCTCATTGTCCTATATTTTGTCTGTTTTGTTCTTTCTCCACCCTTGATGCTAGGTTTGGTTATTGATTGTCTTCCACCAACAATATGTATACCTGCTTTGCAGGTTCTGACTTGTGACCTCAGTCTTTAATTGTCTGCTCCGTAGTTTTTACAGATGTGAAAACAAATGTTTTAGAAGGTTAGTAAGATAATATTCATTCTTGGAGATTCTGGAAGCTTTATCCCTTGTATCTTCATTGAAACAAAACAGTATTACATCTGTGATCCTTCATGTGGCTGCATCTTCAGAAAACACTCTAAAATTAGGCTTGTAGCCTTCGCTAAAGGTCAGCACATAAAAAGAGAAAGCAAAAATAGACATATGAAGAACATATAGAGTTTTATTAGATATATATTTTGTAACACATCTATGCACACACTGTACATTTAATTCTTACTATGTCTTAAGTAAGGAATCCTATTTTAAATCTTGGTCCAGATAAAAGTTTCTCTCCCCATATTTCTTGTATTTTCTTTTTACTATACAGTGAGACTCATACTCCTCTCATTGTGTTTCTGTTTTAGCTCTGGCTTCTAGGATACTCCACAATAATACTGGAATTTAATTTTAATAGCTTTCTTCAGCTGAAATATTTGGAAAATTTTTTTATCACTTGTAAATATGTCATGTTTTCTTTGTATTACTTCAATTGTACTTTTTTTTTGGTACCCAGGATCGAACTCGGGTCTATGCTTGCGCAGCAGGCAGCAAAACCACTGAGCTAAATCCCTGGCCTTTAATTGTACTTTTATTGTATATAGATGCTAAATTATAAATTGCCTTTTTAGAAATTAGGAAGTATCTTATACTTATGATTCTATTTTCAGATATTCTTTATAGTTCTAGGAGGCCGAACAAAGTTAATTGTCAGGAATTTATGTACTTATTATGAAGAAAACTAAAATGCTAGTCAGTGAAGCCCAAATGAAGACTGGCATAATGAGAGGCTAGAAAATACAAGCTTGAGCTTGCTTATTTAAAATAACAAGAGCAACCACAAAATTCCTTGAGGGTCATGGAATATCTTGTTTTGAGACATACTTTTGTCCATCTTCTGATGTGGCTCCCCACCCTGTACATAGGAGGAAAAATATTCCTGGAAATAATATCTACAACTCTGTTATTAAGCTTCCATCATGATCCATTTCTTTGACTTGAAGTTATGAACATAAGCTCTCATTAGACAAAGTAACAAGAAGAGGATGGTATTTGGCATTGTTTTTCAGGAGCAAAAAGGAATCACAGTACATTGATGAGATGTAAATTTTGAGTATGTGGGGGGGTGCTGTGATATTAACTGCTGTCTTTACCAACTTTTGATTGCAGGAAAACTGGGTCTCAGGTTGGCATAAGAAGTGAAAGCGAATGTGGGAGCAGTGATTCAGTGGAGGTGAGGACCAGTGACAGAGGAGTGAGAATGATCAGGGGACTGTCTTGAAGGGGAAAGCAGATTTTCTCCTCTTCCTTCGTAGGTTGGATGCTTGGAAGAAAGTAATTCTTGGTTTGCTTGAAACAGAATATTGAATAATGACGATAATATGGAAAAGCAATTGGTAGTTCCTGAAACTGGATTTATTAACTTTGGTGTTTAGAACTCTTAGCTGTATTTTGGCTTTCTATTTTTTAAAAAACCAAAAGAAATATAAATGAAACTTCAAGTGTGGTAAAAGGGCCACTAAACTCTCAGCCTTTAATACCAGTTGAAACCCTGCCATTGTCATTTGTGAGGAGATCTCGGGAAAATTACTTAACAAAAATGAGATTTAGGGCCATTCTCTGGCCAAGGCGCCCACTTTAACCCCAACAGGCTGACAGTCATCGCAGTCCCCCCCAGCCTCGTAAGGACGAAAGCCAGTGACTGAGTAGAAATCAGGCCTCACTGGAACCCTGAGCAGAGGGTGGACAACTACTTCTCAGGAACTCAGGAAACTCATGTGTCAGAAAAGGTGACTCATAAATAAACAAAAGAATATGGCTGCACAGATATCAGAATCTGATCAGATAAAACAGTTTAGGGAATTCCTGGGAACCTACAATAAACTTACAGAAACCTGCTTTGTGGACTGTGTGAAAGACTTCACAACAAGAGAAGTAAAACCTGAAGAGATCACCTGTTCGGAACATTGCTTACAGAAATATTTAGAAATAACACAAAGAATATCCGAGATTTCAGGAATACCATATTCAGCAGAATGAGGCCCTGGCAGCCAAAGCGGGACTTCTTGGCCAGCCCCGATAGAGAAGTCCCAATGGCTGAGCTCCGGGCGGAGGCTGCCACGCCTGTTCCACTGGGAAAGAGGACTCATCAGGCGGAATCCCTGGAAGTGGTGGGCACCATGTTGAACCATCTGTCATGACTCTTTGGCAAATGGAAACCACTGGAAAAACAAAATTGCTGCTCACCAGGAATAATCAAAATAGAGGATCTTATTGCTCAGTGAAAATAATAAGGTGCGACATTAAGGTTGAGGCCTTAAGATTCAGTAGCTTGATAACTTAATTAGAAAAATAAGCCACTGTTTCTTCAACTGTGACTGTTAATTTTAAAGCAAAATATGTGTTCAATCATGTGAGAGAAAAACATTACTGAAAATGAAATAAATGGGAATATCACTGAAAAAAAAATGAGATTTAGGCTAAACAGCTACTTTCAGTGCTAAGATTCTGGGAGACTGTGATGATAGGGAAGGAAGGAGATGTGTTATACATGGCACACTTGGCTTTTTCTAGTCAAACAACATTCCTACTTTTCAGTTTGGTGTCCTTGCTCTGTACTCCCAGGGCACCGGAGATTATCTCCACCAAAGTTTTCAAAAAGAACATACTATTTTAAATATCTCTGGGTGTTCATCACCTAGGACATTGTGAGTAATTTGAGGGCAAGGACTATGCTTTCTTTTATTCTAGCATAATCATTACTGTTTCCTGAATGAATGAATGAATGAACAAATTCTATACTTAAACATATGAATTATGTGATACTCCTTGATCTGCCTCTACATGACTAGAACTGTTCTACATGGCTAGTATCTTTCATGATGGCAGAGACACTGACTTCTATAAAACTTCAAAAACAGTGCTATAAGCATTGCAATCTCACTGATGAATTTCCTTGTTCTTTAGGATGTGTGCAGTGCCTTTCGGGCCTATGTGAAAGATGGAAGACTTGGATGCACAAGAGAAAATGATCCAGTTCTTGGTCCCGATGGGAGGACACATGGCAACAAGTGCGCGATGTGTGCAGAGCTCTTGTAAGCATTGTCATCCCCGTGCAGCCCTATGAAGATGTACTTGGTTCTTGGGACACAAAGTGATAAAGTCCTTTCATGAAGTGTGTAATCTTTTGTCTTTATAATATGAAATAGGCTTTGCTCCCAAATGGCTTCCTTTCGTTTCCTTTATAACATCTTATGAAGGAGAAGATAAAGTGATTATGTTAGTTATTAAATTTCAGGCTATTCATTATTTTAAACTATTATAATTGAAAACATTCAGTGTTTTATAAGGCATAGTATTTTAAGATTTAAGCCCTTTCATATGGAACAATATATGTCAGTCATTTGACACGCATCACTTCAACTGGGCATATATAGAGACCCTAAGAAATAATAATAGTGGCACCATGTGTCTGAATTCACTCTTAGTGTAAAAGGTGAGTGTTATGAAAAGGAAAATCTTTTGGGTTAATCTTTCAGCGCTTGGCAGTAGCTTGGGCCCTAGAGTCTTTCATATTCTGGTTGAGACTCTAATTTTCGAGGCAGCAAACCTTAAAGTGCTATATTTATATTACTGGATCTTTAAAATTAAGACAGACAGAGATTTAACAGATTAATAAATTTTACACTTGCCTTTGAAAGTTACAGTTAGAGTTCAAGGGCATGTCTCATCAGGCTCAAGAGACTGCGGTTATGACTGATTTCCAAACAGGAAATCGGTGGGATTTACACTTTCTTACCTAGGAGGCATGTGCTTTCAGTGTTCAAACCCGGCCTATATTCTGTGGATTTCTGTTTCTTTTCATGTATAAGCTGAAAAAAGAATTTGACCTTTCTAAACTCTGGTTTCTTACTCGGCAATGCCTTTTGCTTAGATGAGCCTATAATTAGATAACAGATGTGAAAGAGTTTAGAAGCTCAATTCAAATTTAGCTTTTACTAATAACTATTCCTTTACTTGAAGGTGACTAGGTTTAAAAACTTACACATAAGTGTGTGAACAGCAATTCCTCAAATGTCCAGCTTGGGTTCACCCTTGTCACAACATTGTTTCAAGGCTCTTGGTTCTGCTTCTTGAAGTGGATTTCCTGACAACTTTCTGTTTGTCAATCAGACAGCCTGCCCATCGGGTCCTACAGAACAAAGCTTCTCCTTGACCGTCAGTGAGTCAGTTTCACACCCTTCCTTATCTATGGCAATTTCTCTGGCTCAGGCATTCAAGACTGGGAAATGCTTGTCTCCTGGGAGTGAGTCAGTTTCAACAGGCTGTAGCAGAGGTCATCAAAGGGCTCACCACAGGTCTGGACACTGTAAACATTACTGGCCCATGACCTGACCAGCTGTTTACTTTTCTTACTAGTTTAAAAGAAGCTGAAGAAAATGCCAAGCGAGAAGGTGAAAGGAGAGTTCGACGACAGGCTGAAAAGGTAAATGACTTACCAACAAAATTTAGTTGTGCCCATAAGCATTAACAAAGTATACTGCAACTTTGAAGGACTGCAGAAATGTCATTGTTCTTTCTTACCACATGGACATTTTTAAATATTAAAATTCCTCAGATTGAGTATTCCTAGTGAACTTATCTTTTAAGTTCAGACCAGCGTTTCCCACTTAAAACTAAAGATGTACAATTTTTACCTTTGCTCTTCAGCTCCCCCCTCAAAAAGGATTTAAGATAGAAAGTTTGTACATACTGAATTCTGTTAATTTTCTCCAGCCTCCTATCTGGCATAATGTAAATCACTTTTCTTTGAATAATTGTTTAAATTGCAACACAATATAAATTAAACAAAAGTAACTTTAAAATAGTCCCCAGGTTTTAAATTTCATTGACACAAGTTGGAGTTACTCACTTCTCCAATATAGCTATTACATTCAATGAGACCTGCAGTTATAAAGGTCTTGCTTTTGCTTAAATAAAAATCTCAAGTATTGAAGCAGTAGCTTAAAATAACTCTTAAAATAAACCTTTTCCCCAAAGTATTTGATAGTTTAGTTTTCATATCTATTTATTCCTGTTGTTAACTGAAGAAGCACTCTAGTTAATTCTGCCTGGACCCTTAGCCCTACTTTTAATAAGAAGGTTAGCAAATACTTTGCTTCCTGGCTGCCTTTTGTTGGGGAGTGAGAGTACCTGCATTCTGTCATGTCCTGGGTGTGTTAGGTGAACAAATCATCTCCTCTTTGGGCCTCAATTTTCTTGTCAGCAAAATAATGAGGCTGGATAAGTAACTTCAAATTTCCCTTCCTGTTGGACTGTGATTCTATGTTCTTCACCCTTTTGTACTATACAAATATACGATGTTTGTGGATTTGGGCTTAGGGTGTCTTATAGAAGTAAACAGGCCCAGTTTTTTATAATAAAGAGCTGACTCTCTGCTTTCTGATGTTATTTAACCAAGCAAAACTACTACTCTACATTGAGTAATCTCAGTTTAAATTTAGAAAAATGAAGTATTCAGAACTGTCTGTGGTTTACTTGGCACTTGGGAAAGACTTAAAGCAATACTTTTGTGTGGTTGGTAAATTTGAATATAAAACTCTGGGTCGTCCTGTGAAATTTAGAATACGTTACTCCATAAACCTGGAGCATTGTTCTTTCTCCCTCCTTCCTATCAGGTCTGACCATCCTTGCCTCTTTCTCTCTGGGGCTGGGATATGAGGCCTAGTTGTGCTAAACAGGCCTGCTTTCTGGTGATGGCTCAATCCATGCTACATAATTAGCCTGTCAGTGAGCTGTTCACAAAAGTGTTTCTTCAGAATCTCCATGGATGAATCACAGCTTATAAACTAAAACTATCATTGTTCTTCTCATGGGAGTCACTGACCATTCCTTTTATTATTGCACTATCATTACCCGGTGACTCTCTTCACATCTGTCTTCCTAGGTTTTTACAACCAGGAAGTTTGGAGCACTCTCATTCCTCCTCCCAAAATAACTAGGTCCTTATTCGCACTCAATTAGGGCTCTTGCTGAAAGCATCCTAATGAAAATGACACTATAAAGAAACAGAAGAAAGTACTAGATAGGGAAAAGCTCCTAAAAGGTATCTGTTCCAAAAACCTCACAGTGTCCGTGTAAGGGCTGAGGTCAAAAAGATGTTGGGACTTTTTGATGGTCCCTCGGTGAATTAGAGGCCACCGTCTCAGCTGCTCATGTCTCCCAACTGACTTCCTGACATCCTCTCATGCTCATGCTTTCTTGGAGAAAATGGAAGGATGCAGGCTGCACAGTTGAACAGAAGGGAATACAGCAGAAATTTTATGAGTCGTGTAATAAAATATGCTGTCACAATAGAAATCCTCAGGCCTAGAGTAATTTGGGGTATGTCATTTGTTAAGTTGGGCCCTCACCAAGTACTAGAATTTCCTAAACACAGAAATTCAATAGCCCTTATCCAAATCATCAGAAAAGCTGGGAACCGAATTTTCTTGTATTTTTTTTTTAAGTCACTATATTTTTAGGTTTTCTAAATAGATGTTGGTCTTTCTGGTTTACTTCTGTAAGGCATAGGTGAAGGAACTAAATTCACACTCTTTGCAATTTTCAACTATGATTTCAGAAATGAACATTGGTAAAGGAAGTTCAGTATACACAATGTTGTTGTATACCATCTTGTTCTTTTTTCCTTGAAAATGAAGTTAGATTGTTCTGTGTGCACATTGGATAACATTTAAGCATCTAGTTTTCTGATTTCATAAGTTCTATCTTCTATTCATTGGCTGTTACTATTATTACTATTGTTTTGTCATGGCTGCTGCTTTTTGTTGGGTCTGTGTTAGAACCTCACGAAAACTTTTCATTTCCTTTATAGATTGGGAAATTTATAAGTCCCGTCTAGTTTTAGGAACTATTGATTAACCTAATTCTTTCTTAAGTTCTTTAACCTTTTAATAAATATACAACATAACAGATACAAATGCCTGACAAAATAATTGCTATTTCTTATTATTAATTCTCAATGTGTTTGTGTGGGGGGGGGGTTTACCAGTGCTTCCAGATTTGTGTCAGTTTGTGGTTATGAATCTATCTGATAAAGTTTCTCAATGAAAGAGCAGAACAATAGTAAATATAGCTACTTATCTTTTTAAAAGGCTCTTTGCAAGGAATTTGAAAGAAAAGTGAGAAAGGGAAGACTCTTTTGCACACGGGAGAGTGATCCGATCCAGGGCCCTGGCGGCAGGATGCATGGCAACAAATGTTCCCTGTGTGCTGAAATATTGTGAGTAGAGATGTGGTGTCTTCAGGGTTACTGAAAAGAGGGAAGTGGAGAGAGATTCAGTGATGCCAAGAATAATATTGAATGGAAGTTTTTGTCATTGAGAATCACTTGGGCAGTTTTATGTCCTCTACAATCCATACTACTACCCAGAAGATAGGCACTACTGATGTAAGTCTTTTTCTGGGTACAGATGATTTCATTTTCCATTTAGAAAATGCTGACAAAATACTTCTTAACATTTCTCCCCATGACGATTGCGAACCTCTTTGTAAACTAGTCATTGCACAGAATGGAAGTAAAAGCAGATACCAAGACATTGTTTTTCTTAATTATCTCATTGTCACAGAGTTCATGGGAGATTCTCAGAAAATTCATGTTGCATGTTAATTACATTACACTTATCTTTTCAGCTGGGACATATCACCATGGGAGAAGGGCAAATCCCACAACACACACCATATGCATGAAGATGTCCTAGCTGGGTTTCATTGAGCTTTGTTTCAGATTCTTGAGTTCCATAACCTCTGTCCTACATGCTCTTCTCCTGCCAGTGCCTCTCAGTCTTGGACTGCTAATGTCCTTTTCTCTTGTAGATTGCTCTTTTTGTTGTTGCTACCTGGGATCAAACTCAGGTCCTTTTGCTTGCGAGGCAGGTGGCAGAACCACTGAGCTAAATCCCCGGCCCTAGTAGATTGCATTTTAAAAGTATCTTCCATATAAAAGATCTTAAAATCAGATATAAAATATTCAGATACAAAGCACAGTGACAGGTGTAGATCTCATTTCATATGTGGTCTAGTATGTCTTCTGTTTAAAAAGGAAGAATTTAAACTGGAAATATTTAAGAGAAGAGATGAAAAAGAACACCAATGCAGTGGAAAGAAACTATACACATATCCAAAATGAAAACAAACTTTTTGAAAAATTTAAGTCAATTTGAAAGTGTTTGTATTAGAACTCAGGAAAACCTAACTGCCTTTCCATATGTGCCTAATGACTATTTTGCAACATGAAGATTTGAAGCATCTCTATTCATTTTTTTTACCTTGCTTTCTCTAGCATGCGGCATTATTTAGAAGAAAAAGGTAAAGGTGATCAAAATTTGAGAAAACCTAAAGAAAAAATAATAAAAAGAGAAGTTGAAGTTGAGGTAAGAATTAGTATGATGAATCTGGTTGCAACGTTTGTGTTTGAGGTGTGTGTAATGAGCACATTATTCCCGTGTGTATTTTTAAAATTGGTTAATATTTTCCCAATAATAATAGCTTTTCTGGAAATTAACTGATAGTTATCATTAATTATTGCTTTATGCTATGCTATTATAAGTTTTAGCTTTATTTGGTTGAAAATAAATCATATTAGTAAAATAATTACACATTTCTATATGCAGGTGATATATCAAAACATTATGCTGATTCAAAGAGCACTTCCATCATGGAGTAGATGTTATGGAGCTATTCATTTGAAAAGCAGTACCAGTGTAGAATTTTAATATGATTCTTTTAAAATCATGCTTCACTGTATTATCTAAACTTCCCTTAATTATTATTGCTGCCATCTCAGCTCAAATACCTAATACTGTAGTTTTCCTTTGCATTGCATTGGCATCTTGCCTGGTCTGCATATTTTTAGTCTAAATTTTCCTCTGTCCTCAAGATCAATTAATCATTCATGTGGTTTTCATAGAATGGGAAGTGTTTTCGTGAATCAGTGGCATCATGAAATTCCAATGTTTAAAGGTTTCTTAGAGTATACTGGAACCATTTCACCTATGTATAAATCCTGTTAAGCTTCCTACTTTTTATAGTTACCTAACATTTTATAGTTACCTAACATTTATGTAGCTCAGAGTTTTACAGTGGCCCACTCCTTGAGGCCACCTTCTGGTCTGTATAACTCTATCTTATTGTGAGGCTTCATTTTCCACTTCTTTCTTTCTCTTAATCCTAGGTCACCAAGTCATTTTTATTTTACTACTCAAATGTTCTTCAACTATTCTTTTATCTTTCATTTACAATTTCTCCTTTCCCTGTTCCTTCCCTCCTTCCCTCTCTCCCTTCTTCCCAGTCTCCCTTCCTCCTTCACTCTTAACCTTTCCTTTTTTCCTTCCTTCCTTCCTTCCTTCCTTCTTTCTTTCCTTCCTTCCTTCCTTCCTTTCTCTTCTTATAATCTAATTAAATCTCTGTTTACTCAAGTCTTCTGCAAATCTGGCTGAAAGTGTTTCTACACCAAAGATTTGATTCTGTCATTCTTTGTTATAAATATTTATAATGTTCTCATTGTCTAAGAATAAGATCCAAATTCCTTTCAAGGGTTAGTGGTTTGGTTTTGATCACTTTCGAAGGTCTCTTATTTGACCACTTCCTGAACTTTGTTCTCTTTACCCAACTAATTTTTTGCAACTGTGGTCATGAAGACATTAGATTGTCTTAAGGGAGCATGCTACTTATTGCCTCTGTGACTTTTCATATTATAATTCCTCTTAGAGAACCTTTTTTGCCACACTGTGTTCTTCAGTACATCTTCAAGATAGAACTTCACCATAAGTTTTTCTTGCAACTTCCATAAAACAGATTTCCTTTGTATTAGTACACTCTTAATTCAGACCTGAATTATAGCCCTTAGCTTTGTCTATTGCAATTACTTATTCTTTCCACCTATATAACTAAAACATAAATTACATTCATATCTACTTAATATATTTGTTGAATAGTAATAGATGAAATTGCAAGAAGAGAAACATCACAAATTTTGAGGTGGTTCTAAATCCTGAAAGTTTTATTTTTTATCCTTAATACTTCTTTTACAATTTCTTAGGTAAATAACATTCAAAATTTACAGGTAAATAATAGAGATCAATGTCTAAACTGTCTAATTTTTATTATCCAGAAAGTCTGCAGTGAATATGAAGACCGTGCAAAGAATGGAATACTTTTCTGTACCAAAGAAAACGACCCTATTCGTGGTCCAGATGGGAAAATGCATGACAACATGTGTTCTATGTGTTATGCCTTCTTGTGAGTATAGCACTCTAGGATATCAAAAGGGAAGAGACCCCCCACATGTGCTACTAGAACCAGTTTGATTCATAGATGAGGAAACTGGCTCAAACTAATAAAAGGACTTGAATAAGTTATATGGAGAAAGTTAGTAATAGCACTGTGAGTGAGTGTTTAGGGCTGTTTGTTTCAAAATTATTTGTTTCTAGGAAGCTCCCTGTCCTAGTACTGGAACCTCCTGACAAACGTGAATTTCTGAAACATTAGTTGCTCCTTCATCACTGAAGCTTCATTTGAATCTGGTTTAGTAGTTTATAGGCTTCCCGTCATCCATGAGGGGGGCTAATGACCAAAACTAGCAGTTAACCCAGAAATGGAAGTGAGTCAAATTACCCACAAAATGACCATAAACTTCTATGAAATTATGATGCATAATATTTGGTGATATTTCTTAGCTAAGTAGAGTTAAAATTACTTTTACAATATGGAACAGCTCTGACTTCATTTGGTAAAGCAAAATTGTTTGATTCTAAGTAGAATATAAAAAGCTAAATTTAGCCTTTTGTTTTGATTGATAACCATGCATGGTTGAAAAACCATAGTTAGCTGTACATACCAAACGGCTCCATTGTACAAATTTGGACAAACTCAGTTTGTCAGTGTATGGACACTACATTGGCTGTTTTATGTTTTCTCTTTTTCTTTTAGGTAAAGCAGCCATGAATAAGTAATACTTTTAGGATTTAGTGAAACCTAAAATAGCCTGATGTGGTAGGCAGCTCCTGGATGGACTGCGGGGAGGAGACCTTCATTACAAGTAGTCATTTCCCGAAAGCACAACCAGGGCCTTCTGCCTCTCAGGCTCTCTGAGAAACACCAGGATGAGTCAATATGCTTTGCCAAGGCAGCTTTCAGCCCCCAGGTTTTGTTGTAGTCCCGCTAGGACTCTAGTTCTGACATTTTGTTTGTGAAGATTGATGACTTTTCTCATCAAGAGAAAAAAATGTACCTTACAAAAAGCACATTTTCCAAACCTGTTATTGACATCAAGGCTGTTTTGCTGCTTTTCCATGATCTGTAGTAATATGGAGGCAAAGATACTCCTCCCACAGGAGGGCAGGTAGATCACCAGTACAGGCATGTGGAGAAATCAGTGTCTCTGTCTGATACTAATGTGTTCTTTGTATCTTTTTTTCATAAAGTCAAGCAAAACTGGATGAAAAGAAAAAGGTGGAAGCCCTGACAAGAAACAAAAGAGCAGCTGTGAGAAAATACACAATGGAAGTGAGTGAGTCTAACAAATCCTGCTTGGCACAACTGAACACAACTCAAAGAGCCTCACAGCACATGTTAACCCTTCAGTTTTAGATAGCAATGGGCATTGATCTCTTCCTGCTCAATCTGTGACTGGCCCTATAGAATGAAAAGAGCTTATTGGAGGCTGAAAGAAATGAGTTACAGTTCTGGTGTCATCACGTACAGACTGTTCCCTTTTGCTAACTAGCTTTGAGAAAAAATCTGGATGCATCTTTTGTACAAAATAATTCCTAAAATTTCATATTTTATTTGATAAATGGGTTTTTTTGGTTTTCTTTAGTACTGGGGATCGAACTCGGGTCCTTGCGCTTGCAAGGCAGGTGACAGAACTACTGAGCTAAATCCCTGGCCCCTAAATTTGACTATAATTTCACAAAATGCACGGTTTTACCTCTGAAATATAATATTCATTTCCAATGGCTTTGATATAATATCATCACCGATTGTTTGATGATGAAATACTTCTCATTTTCTTTCTGGGTTCCATCTTTTCTTGTATCCAGTCACTAGTATGATACAAACATTACCTCTGATGCAGTTTGAGAGATGCTACAAGATGTAATTCCCATCATGATGCAGATCACTGTGCACATTTCAGACTCTATGTGCACATTTCAGACTCTATGTTCACCTTCAAATTTGACCCCTTAACTTCATTCAGAAATTCATGTTATGTTCTGCTACCTGTTATGTGGAGTCTTACTGGATCTCTCAGCTTATTTTTACAATCTAATGTACAAGTTCCCAAAGGCATTTTATGCCAAAGAATCCTTTTACTACTGACAGTCTCACCTGAATTGTTCTTGACATCTGTGGTTTCCCTAGTTAGAATTCATGGTCCTCTCTTTTGAGTTGTCAGATATTCTTCTACTGATATATCTGCAGCTATTTTTTTCTGTTTTGATAATACAATGTTGTGTTTATGTACCTGTTGTATTATATTGTGACATTCTATTATGTATTTTTGTAGCCATTTTTGGAAATGATTTTGTTGTTTAATTGGATTTTAATATTAAGAGAGCCCAGTTAAAATCCGGGGCTCAGAATGACATACTATTATTTTATATCAATGGAGATGTTTGAATATACTGTTCTAATTAAGAATAAAATCAATGTTCCACATACTTTTGTTTCCGGGTAGGACTATTGCCATATATACCGAGAGGGAATGAAGAATGGCTTAATCGCTTGCATCAGAGAGGCTGATCCCTTCGAGGGCCCGGATGGGGTCACATATACCAACTACTGCATCATGTGTCAAACATACCTGTGAGTAGAGCTGCAGCTGTGGGAGTGAGGGAGGGTTTTGTCCTTGCTGCCTAATTCTGTGATACATTATGAGATGGCCACTTCAACAGGGAATAAAATAAGCGGTGTGTGTTTAGAGAAACTGCCCAATTGGACACAGGTGTAAAAGCCATATCTTCCAGGATTAAAATGTGGGTGCATTAGGGCAGGAGGAGCATCAGGGTCTTGAAATAGCCAAGTGGTTTTTGTGAGTGAGGAAGTAGAACTATTTCTAGGTTGTTTCCATGGATGAAAAAGTGAGTGTAATGGCAGTGTGTAAGTCTCTAGAAGACAGTTTCCAGCTCAGTGTCAGATCCTCCTCTCATTTTGATGATTTCAGAGTAATGAAGCACTTAATATGAAGGCTGATATTGGTAGAGGAATTACTGGTGGATTAACACAAAGGCAGACAGTCATCATGGACACAGTCACAAGCATTGGAATTTTTGAAAACCATCTCTGGACTAAAATTTAAATTATTAGTCTACACTGAACATTTCTGTTCTCCTGGAGAAATTATTGACTCTGTTGATCAGATTTCTTCATGGTAGATTTGTGTTATAACAGTTCTTTACCACACAGTTATGAGAATTTCATATTATGATCACAGCAAGTCACAGAATAATTTAATAAATGTTAAGTTTAATAACAGATCACATTTGTGATCACTTCCTATTTGGAAATTCTATGATTCCTTCTCAAATCCATTTTCAACCACTCTCTTTTAGCCTAGCAGAACATGAAAAAAAGAAGGAAAGAGAATCGAGACATAAGAGACAGTCTGAGAATACAGTTTCTTTTGAGGTGAGAGGACCTTCTCCAGTAAGTGAGAGAAAAATGGGGCTGGGGGTCCAAAATGATATGCAAGAAGCACGTAAATTTCCCAGCCTCCTTGAAGGATTTGAACGGAGTGTGTTTCCATGTGTATTCACCTGTGCTCGGGTACACACAGGCAATATGACTGTTTCTTGCTTGAGGCTCCATGGATTTCATCCCTTAAAAATATCCATGACTGCAAAGTTAGGGACTATTCCCAATGGACTGACTGTTGCTCTCCCTTTACAAAATAAATCTACATTTTTCCAGTCCAATTCAACCTGTGTTCAACAGCTGCAGCTTCCCTCTCTGATTGCTTAGGAGCTGTGCAGTAGATACCGCCAATTCATGAGAAATGGACACCTGCCCTGCACCAGAGAGAACGACCCCATTCAGGGTCCAGATGGAAAGATCCATGGCAACACCTGCTCCATGTGTGAGGCCTTCTTGTGAGTACAGCAGGGACCCAGGGCTCTGAGGGAGGGGGCATGGGAATTGTGCTCGGAAGGAGTTTTTGTTTTTTTTATTTTGTTTTGTTTTTTAAGTATTGGGGATAGCGCATTTTTCTCTTCAATGTAGCATTCAATTTTGAGTATAATGTTTACCTAGGGCCAAAATCAAACAACAAAAGCATACAAAGATCTTGTGGACTCAGCAATATAAAGAGACACAGGATATGCAAGATAAACCTACAAAAATAGTGCATTATCTCATTTATATGTGCAGCTGAAAACAATGGAACTCAAAAACTAGTTATAGTATGATGGTGACTACAGTGGCTGGGAAAGGAGCTGTGGGCATTGCAATGAGAAGATGTTGACTGAGGGTATAGTTTCACTTAAGAGGGATATGTTTTTGAGATCAATTTCACAGCTTGGAGATTATGGTTAATAACATGTCATATATTTTGAAGTTGTTAAAATAATAGATTTTAAATGTACTCATCACAAAGTGATATAGTGTCACAGGAGACTATGTGAATTTGTCTGATTTAATCACTCAACATCTATCCATCCATTAATATATCACATTGTTCCCCACAGTGTTATACATTTATTAATGAAAATATTTCTTTTTAAAAAGGACATGCACAATAAGTTCTCTGGAAACCTAGAGTCCATCACCCCCAGAAAAGAATGCTTTATGACAATCATTCTGATTGCTTTTAATTTTCTGAAAAGTATTAACTAAAATAAAAAAATAGATGAGATCACATGTAAAATGTCATTGTAGTAGGCAGAAAATTTTATGATTTTTTAGTTTACTATTTTTCTTCCAATTCATTTATTTTGACCTTAAGGAGTAGAATTAAAATGAGTCAAAGACATAGAGAGACAGATTTGGGCTTAATGTGAAGAATTACTTTGTAATAGATTTGAAGAATGGTGATTTTGATGGATGTCCATTTATAGAGGACTGGAAGTATGATTTTATAATAGATGAAATGATATAGCCCCCGAAAATATCCTGTGATTTTCTTGAACTTGTTAGTTTTGACCAAAAGGATATCTCAGTGTATCCTTTATGTGCTAAAAAATCTCTGAATGGATTTAATATTCACTCTTCTCTGATAGCAATTTAATTCAGCAGATTTCTCCCATATAGTTTGAGCCATGGAGCACTAACATAATCTAATAGATACAAAATCAAAACCTTGACCATGTAATTTATCATAACCAACATGTATTAAATGCACATACTTTGCTGGTAGTTGCTAAGAGTCTTGCTACTTAATGTCATTTCATCTTCACAATCATATGAAGCAGGTTTTGTGCTATCACAGATTATAGATGAAAACAGGAAACTAAGAACCTGGGAATGATAGCAAAGTCAGCGTAGGACATGTGCCATCCAGGGAAGAAAATGACAGTATATTTCTCACTAGTATGTAGACAGGATGTAGTCACTCATCAAGGCTGTTATCCTTCCTAGTCATTTTTCAATGACAAAAAGGCAATTCTGCCTCCTAGTGTCAGTTCTGTGGCCTCTGATAATTTCCCATTAAGGAAAAATAACCCTTTTAGTCAATTTATACTTGTGGTAAAGTTTAGCTCTGTTTTTGTATAAAGAAGCATGAAACAACACAATTTAAGTCTATTTTAGTAAGTTCCATTCATCAGTATAAAAAGTTATTACTTCATGTATTTTGGATATTTAAAGGCTATAGAGTTTTTGACAAACAGTTTTCCAGGCCAGGGATTTAGCTCAGTGGTTCCGTCACCTGACTTGAGAAACAGTTTTCCCTCCATAGTTATTTTTTGCATACTTTGCATATGAAAACTGTCTTGTCAAGTGTTTAAAATATTCAAATTTCATTGATTATATAGAATCTTATATTTATTAGAACACATTAAAACATTTTCCAAAATTATGTAATTTTGAGTCTATATAGTGCCATTGAATGATTTGTGTCATATGTCTAGTTATGCTATAGACCCAGGCCATTAAGCTCAAACTTCAACATTGTTACTTACTCAAAATCTTAAGAGCTATTGCTGTCCCTTCATTCCTTCATTTCCTTCACAGGCTTATGTTTGGAAAATTTCGTTATAGTGATAATGATATCAATCTTCAATGTCACATAGACTGTTCCCTTTATTATGTACCAGGTACTGTTCTAATTGCTTTCTATGTATCAGCTCATTAAATTCTCCTAACATTCCTATGAGCAAATTATTCTTATTGCCCCTTGTATAGCGCCCCCCCCACACACACCCCTTTAGTGATGAGGAAGGCACAAAGAGATTAGGGCACTTCTTATTTTCTTTATACAATCTGGCTCCAGAGTGCATCCTCCTCACCGCCATGCTATATTGCCTCCCAGAAGCCAAATATTACCGCTTTCTAAAAGGTGATAACCAAAGCAAAAGAATCTGAAAACATTATTGTTATACATGTACCAGGATGTTCAACAGGTTTACTCATTTACTAAAGGACTTTTACCTGCACACCACTTTCTTGAGGTGAAGTGAACCACTCTAGTTTATTATCTAATAAAATGACCCACTGCTATGGATGGCCCTTCGGGGTTGCTTGAGAATAGTAATAGTAATGAAGGGTCAATCAATGAATGTAACGGATGCACTCTACTGAGTTAAGAACCATTTCTTCTTTTCTCTCCTTTTCCCCCTTTTCCTTATAGCAAAGGAAAAGACAAAGCAAGAGCAAAGACTAAAAGAGAAACTGCGAAGGTAATTTTCTTAGAAATTATGATGATGAGTCCTGACACTCTTTCTTTACAAAATCTATGTATATCATTAGTATAAATGATTCTTGTTTAAGTTTCATGCCTACGATGAAGAATAACAACAAAAAGAAACTTTTAACCTTTGTGCAAGCCTGTAATCTCAGCTACTAGGGAGGCTGAAGCTGGAGGATCATAAGAGCCTGGAAGTTGAATACCAGGCTGGGCAACACATCAGGACCTTACCTTAGAAAGAGAATGGAGGAGAGAGAGTGAAAGAGGGAGAAGGAGAGAGAGGGGGGAGAGAGAGAGGAGAGAGGAGAGAGAGAGGAAGAAGAGGAAGAATAAGAAGAGGAGGAAAATGTGGAGAAGGAAGAAAAAGAGGAGGAGGAAGAAGAGGAGAAAGAAGAAAAAAGAAGGAATAAAGACAAGCCAAAAAAAAAATGGATCTTGATTAGATGATTTGAGAATACAAATTTAACTTCATGATTATTCAAATTTTGAAGCTTATTTCATTATAAATGGAGTGTTATCTTTGTAAGGTACGTTTTTCATATTTGATTTATATTCTAAGGCTCAGATTATTGATATTAATATGTATAGTTTGCTAAGTTTAATTTACATCATTCATACCTGTTACTTCCAACAGAGAGTACAAGATCTCTATCATCCCAATTCACAAGCAAAATGCATATATAGTATCGTATTTGATCTTTGTCACCATCCAGCTATGGAGGAAGCATTAGTTTTCTTGTCTTCAATTGCCATTATTAAGTATGTTTTGACTTTCCGATTATTTTTAGTCTGCCATCCATGATTTTATAATTTTAGAGATAACATAGCCAAATCTGTGTGCAGACCCTGGATTACTTTGATGTAATAAACTTATGCAAGACTTACCTTTATTTTTTCTTTTTCTTAACATCTGCAAAAGAAACCTATTCATTATTTGGGGACAGTTAGCACAATTCAAATTTTACCTTTGAACTAAATTTTTATTATATTTTTGTTAGCTGGTACTTTTTATTAGTAATTTAGAACTGAAAATCTGTTTCATCCGTTGAATTTCATCAATTGACAAATCATCTCAAATCTTCCTGGTGGTCCTATCCCTTCCCTCCTTCTCTCCACTTCCATTGTACTCTCCTGATTCAAATCCACACCCATCCCTAGACAAAGATTCTCTCACAGAATGATGTCACTTCCTTCAAGGAACATCCTTATTCTCTCTTCCACCTAAACAAATGTGGCTTTATTTCTTAGTTGGAGTATGATTTTTTTTCTCTGCTTTCTCAGCCTCCTAACAACAAAGCACTGTCCAGTAATGTCCTCAGTATCACCAGGAAGGCTTCTCCTTGTGGTCCAGTTAATCTCCTCAACTGTGATCTCTTCTAGACTTTGTAGATTGCAATATGCAGCACAACAGAAATATAGCTTTTCTGTTATTATAAGCATCTTGGAAGAAAAACAGTGATAAATGTTTGCTAATGGCTATAATACCAGGACAATTTTAAATTCATGTGGGAGCTCTGTCCTTACTGATTTTATTTTATTTTTTGGTACCGGGGATCGAACTCAGGTCCTTATGCTTGCGCAGCAGGAAGCGAAACCGCTGAGCTAAATCTCCGGCCCCTTACTGATTTTTTGATTCATGTCATCTCTTTTATTTTTTACTTTTCTGCATTACTGTGTATTATATATTACTCAAAAGGAAAAGATGCAGGAAAATTAGAAAACTTCTCTCAGAAATTTTGTTGTTGTTGTTTTCCAGGAAAGCTGCAGTGAGTTTCGAAACTTAGTGAGGAATGGAATGCTCATGTGCACCAGGGAGAATGACCCTGTCCCTGGCCCCGACGGAAAGATGCATGCAAACAAGTGTGCCATGTGTGCAAGCGTGTTGTAAGTATCCACCTCCACCTCTCATGATACACGTCTCATCATTATTCTACTTTGTGTCTCAGATCCTTCCTGCACATGCAGAGCACATACTGTAAAATATTAAGTAATGTTGGATCACAGAATAACATTGTTATTCTCTGGTCACCCATCCTTCTATCTTCTGATTATGTCAAAGGGAAATATTCAACTTAGTACTAGATTTTTTTAAACACTTGATTGTCTTTTTTTATATAACAAAGACAATACAAGTTTCATGATCTGGATTTTGTGCTCTCTCTAGTCTCTCCCACATTCTGATATATTTTACAATTCTGTGAAGATATTCAAATATGGATTAAAAGAAACATAGTTGGATACAGGCCTGTGGGAATAATGATTATTAAAATAACCCAAACAAGAAGTGGAGTAGAGAGGAGGACTTTGTATGTGTTTTCAGGACATTAATATGTACAGGTGAAATGCTTACTTTGCTAAGTGGCTTAGTGTAGAGTGAAACACTAAGAAGCGGCTATGTTCTAGACATTTACTAAAATATCTTCCTGTTAATCTAGGCCAGGGTCTTCTAGGTTGTTCTTTTGCAGAGTGGTGTGGGTAAATCAGAGAGAAGTGCTCCACTGTGTAGAAGTTGAGTATCATCATGTCTAATTCTCTCACTTCTTAGTCTACTAACCCTCTCCTATTCACTTTAAAATAAACTGGAGATGTGAAGGGGGTTTGGAGATGGGGAAATGGAAAGGTGGGGAGGGGGAGGTAAAAATGATGAAGATGCAACTTGAATATGTACCAGTTCCTCAAGATAAATGTAATTCTTATGCATCACAAACATATATTAATAAGAAAGAAAAGAAAAACTAAAATAAATTTTAAAAATAAAGTACAAAGTTATTAATTATCTCAGATTTCACAGGTCTTGGCCCAATGTTAAGTACATGCACATGGTTCCTTAGAAGGAGAGACTGACAGAGTAGCACGATAGAATAAATAATGACCTGACATTCAAGAAATCAGTGTTTTTGTCTTATTCTTTCAATTTTCTGGTACTGTAGTAATAACTAAATACCGTCAATGTTGGTTCCACCAACCTTTCATAGTTGATGTGCTGCCCATCAGCAGAAAATAGCAAGAAACCAAGACTTGGTCTTATGATTGACCTCAAAAAATTAGCTGTTGATTCTGGTGGGTTTTTTGGTACCAGGGATCGAACTTGGGATCTTGCGATTGCGAGGCAAGTGGCGGAACTACTGAGCTAAATCCCCGGCCCAAACTGCTGATTCTTACTAGACTTGAATTACTATTGTAATCCAAAACTTGAATTTCAATGTGGGCTTTAGTTCCATTAAAAATTACATTTACTCTTTTTTTTTTTATAGTGAACCATGGTTTGTGTGATGATTGGCCCATCATATTTTCTGGCATTACCCTTTGCTTTCATCATTGATATAGTACTTATCAGGATAAAAGAAGTTTCATAATTAAAAAATATTCAAGACAATGGTGGCTTCTGATAGCTCATTGATTGAAATCACTGATCCACCCAAAATAAGAAGTCTGAGGGCCTCATACTGATAAAAATGCAGGCTTGTTTCATTATTGTCACTTTTTAGAGGGAGAATATATAAAGCTAAGTTTTCTGCATATTTGCCAGAGCATTTTAATAGCCCCTCCTGGGATAATTTGTCCTAAAGATTTCTGACCTTTGGTATGGAAGTTTCTCTTTCTTTCTTGAAAAATAATACCAAAGTCATTGTAGTATTTTATTTAACTTGTATCTTCTTCTGTTGCAGTCAACTTGAAGAAGAGGAGAAAAAAAATAACAACAGAGAAAAAGAGAAAGTTGAAGCTGAAAAAGTTAAAAGAGAAGCAGTAGAGGTAGTTGTTGCACATTATCATAGCTGTGTACATATTTGACGATCGTTTTTGTTAGCCAAGCCTCCCATGCCTTCTAATCCTAGCATCCTTCATGACCTTGCAAACTGAAAAAAATATATTTGGATCATCCTCATATATAAGAATACTCCTTTATTTTATTTTATTTTGGTACCAAAGATCAAACTCAGGACCTTGCACTTGAGAGGCAGGCGGTGGAACCTCTAAGCTAAATCCCTGGCCCCTACTCCTTCTTTATTGATATTGTTCACCCTTCTGAGTTATAAACAGAAGGATCATTTAAAAATATAAGGTAGATCACACCACCATGATTTCGCTCAAAGTAAGAACTAAGATCCTGGTAGGAGCTTACTATACCATACTTGATCTGATTCCTGCCATCTCTCAGGCCTCATTTCCTGCTATTCTACATATTATTCTTCTTGTGGCAGTTATACTGGCCATTTGTTGCTTGGTGGAAATGCCAAGAATCAATCCATTGTTCCATTTCTTGTAGAGTCAGTAACAATATAGTAAAAAATTTGATCTGGACTCATACTGTCAGGGTTGAAATCCTTGCTCCATATTAGCAGTAAGGTCATGCATAACATCTTTGCATCTTAATTTCTTCATTGAATATCCATATTAATGACATTATTATAACATTTTTATAAAGTCCTACAAATTAACCTATGTATGACAGCACAGTGTTTCCCATATCTTAAGTACACAATGTATAATATTACATTTATTATCATTAATGCTACTATTTATCTATTCTTTGTCCAACAGAATGTGTCACGTTGGACAGTTAACCAATTCTTGAACATACAATGACCTTTATTTTCTGTAAGACTTTCAGCCAGGAATGTTTCTTCCTTACATGAAATTTTTGGCCAATTTTCATGGTATTTAATAAGTACTAGATGCTTGCTAAGGATTTTCCCCTTTTGTATAATATACTTAATAACTTCACCAATTATGATGCCAGTATTTTTCTTTAGTTTTCAGTTATATCACTTGTTTAATTATAACTTATAATTGTTTCTCTATATTTTCTGTGATTTTTTAGGTTAGAGTCTGTCAAGGATCTCACTGGGCTAGAATCAAAAGATTGGCAGGGCTACATTCCCCTCTGGAGTCCTTGCTTTTCTACACTCTGGAGGCCATCATTCTTGGACCTCTTCCTCCATCTCCAAATGCAACAACATACATCTCTCTGGCTGTTCTTTGATCACGTCTCATTTTCTGTTCTGCCTCATTCTTCTGGTTTTAAGGATTGGCCCTTGTGATTACATTGGAAGCATTAAGATAATCCAGAATTCATAGTCCTTATCCTAAGCAGCTTTGCAAAGCCCGTTTCTTATGCAAACAGATTCACAGGACCCAAGTATTGGGGACAGGTGAAGACTATTACTACATACTGGAAATTTTTTACACTGTAAGAGACAGTGAATTATTCCTTTTACCTTTCACAGTGCCTAGCCAGCTCTCTTCTAATGAGATTACTGTTATTAATAATAAATAATATGTGACTTAGGCCTCTGAAATAAATCTTGACTAATATGGACCTTTCCTACACACATCCCTTATATTTTAGGCATTGTATTATAGTTTTCAAAGGGGTCCTGTGGAGGAAGATGTCCAACATTTAGTTGTTTGGTTCTTAAATCCTCCTTCATTTTGCCAGGAGCTGTGCCGTGAATACCGAAAATACATGAGAAATGGACACCTCCCCTGCACCAGAGAAAATGACCCTATCGAGGGTCTGGATGGGAAGATTCATGGCAATACATGCTCCATGTGTGAGGCCTTCTTGTGAGTAGAGCTGCAGCCACAGCTGCTGCTGACTGTAAGAGAAAGACCTTGGGTGGGTGAAAGGGATGTCATCCAAGGTTTGCTAAAGGAGGTAGATTATGAAGCCTGTCTTTGTACTGAGCTCATAGATTTATTATCATAAAACCACATACTTCAGACATTTCTTTCTAGTGTTCTGAGACCATGTACTACAGACAAATTCTCCTTGCCCTAATGGCTTAGAAGGATGAGACTTGATTTCTGCATATAGGTCATTCTCATGGATAATCCAGTGACGTACTGATTGGGCACTAACTAGATGATATGGGTTAGGATCTAGTCAACATCATAGTTTCTTGAGATGAAGAATATCTGTACTTTATAAAAGAAATACAGCAGCAAAACTGTATTCACTGGTTTGCTAGGGCATGTATGTCTTATTCTCTGAGCAACATTAAAAACCAGAACAAGGATGTCATTTACCTTTTGATTCCCAGGTTAAGTTGACAGAGATGTCGAAGTAAAGGAATATTTTCCTCTGGAGAGATTTTCCCTTTAAGATAATATGAACTGGGTGCTAAGAATGATTCTCCCTTACCTCTCTCTTACAGCCTTCAAGAAGCAAAAGAGAAGGAAAGTGAATCCACAGGAAAAGTTAAAAGAGAAGCCGAAAAGGTAGTTGTTCATATCACAATAAAAGGGTGATGTTTTGCCATTTTCCTGTAAAAATCACTGACAGAATTGCTGAAGACCCTAACTGGTGGGGAAGTTGGAGTTCATTTAGTACAGAGCTGACAAACTTTTGCATAAAGGACCAGATAGTGAGTAATTTCAGCTTTGTGACCATAAAGTCTCTACCACTACCACCTACCTCTGCTGTGTAACACCACCCTGTATTATGCAACATAAGGGGTATGAGTGTGTTCACATAAAACTTTCTTCACAAAAACAACATCAAAGCTTGTTTTCAAATCCTGTATCAGCTTCATTCCCATATTGTAAAATGAAGATTTAAATCCAGAGAGAAAGAGGAACTTGCCTACAAAGTTACTAGAATTATTGCTATTGGTATCCATATCTTCATGTTTCAGTGTTCTTACAGTTGAAAAGTGGAAACAATAAAATTAAAACCTATAATTCCTGACATGAAATCTAGCATTGTTACTAACATAGTAAGTGTTTTAGTCCCACATTTTGTCAAATTAGATGTATGTCTCTTGCTTTACTTTTTTTCATATATTTTAAAATTTATTCTATGTTTTATTCATTTTTTTGACTTTTATTAGTACATGTTTGCAGTACATAATGATTACATTCACTGTAGGGGATTAGTACATGTATGTAACACAATTCAATTCCCTTCTCCCCACCCCCACCCCTTTTATCCTTCCAGCATCAGATTCATTTATTTATAAGACTTTATAAAGTTAATTATTATAGATACAGATTAAAAACCAGACTAATAGGCCAAAGAACAAATAAGATATGAAATAAAATTGTACTAAGTCAAGGTACACTTGCTGATACATTGTCCAAGCTGGATTACAATATCTTTATTTCTTTGTCTTTTTTCCTATTGTCTGTCTTTTATTATGTACTTTATATATTGAGTTCTTCATAGAAGAGAACCATAAGATATTTAAGCTTGTGTGTCTCAGGTTTTCTTACTTAACATTATGGTCTCAAGGTGCAACCATTTTCCTACAAATGGCTCAAGTTTGTCCTTCTTTATGGAAGCATAATACTCTATTGTGTATATATACCACATTTTAATTTTTGAATTAATTAGTTTTATTGGTACACTTTAGACATACATAATGATCATATTCATCACAGAGAATTTGTACCTGTGCATGATATATCTTGATTCTTCTTTTTTTCCCCCACTCACTTCCCATCCCTTCAACCCTTTTTCTTCTCATTCTTTACGAAAACTTTGTTTTCATTTTTTTTCTCTTTTTTTCCATTTTTTCTCTTGCTTTACGTTTAATTATTTTCTAGTATCAGCCCACTAGAGAAAGATAAATAAGTAGTATACTCAAACAATATTTTCTTGGGTCAAAATGACTAACCCCAGATAAATTATTACAGGTTTTAGTCATTTTTTTCTGCTCCTCTCAAGGACAATTGATACTAAAAATGATCTCTAGGGCCAGGGATTTGGCTCAGTGGTTCTGCTGCCTGCCTTTCATGTGCAAGGTCCTGAGTTTGATTGCCGGTACAAAAAAAAAAATCTCTCTAAAGATGATCATATTCAGATGCTATAGGATTGGCTTGTTTAAAATTGCATTATATACAACTGTGCATTTGAATTTTAAAATAATGTGAATAGTTCATACAGAAAACAGCTTAACTTTCCAATATGTGCAAGACAAAATTCTTCAGAAGGAGACAGTTTCTAATTTCATTCCCACTACTATTATATCATATCACCATACTTTTGCAAAATGTGACCAGTTATAGAGTCTGGCAGAGCCGGAGAAAGAGAAGAGTCAGAGGCAGAGCTAGAGAAAATTTTATTGCATCACCCTCATTGAATTTCAACTTGAGCTAAAGATTAAGGGAAAACACAAAATCAATATTAATTGCCACCAGAGCTGAAGTCTTTGAGCATAAGTGATTTGTTTATTCTTTCCCAGTTGCTCACATAATTCTGTTTTTTTGTTTTTAATTTTTTAAAATTAATTTTACTGGTACATTTTAGGTATAAAATAAAATGACATTCATCATTGGAAATTTGCACCTTTACATAATCTCTCTTAGTTCTTATTTTTTCCCCATTCCCCTGCCTGTCCTTCAACCCCTCCATCCCTCCCTATCTACAAAGACATTGTTTCCATTTTTTCACTTTCTCATATTAATTCCATTGCCTTCTTTCCTTTCCCCT